TATATATATATATATACATATCTATGTGTGTGTGCGCGCGCGCCGTATAGTCAGATTAGTTGGTCGGACATCTACTTGTTAGTTGTAAGTCCCCTTTGATCTGGGATTCGATTCCCTCTGAGTGTAGGTTGTGGTACTCGAATTTTTAAACGCACGAGGGATGATCGGGGCTCGTATAATAACCTCCGGCCATTCCTTTTAATATATATAGATATATATATATATATATATATATATATATATATATATTGACACACACACACATTTAAACTATTGATCTAGATTGTTAATTAATATAATGGTCTATACTAAGCAAAACCTACTCATCCTCTCACCAGATTCCTTTTATTTTTACATGCCAAACATAATAATATTTAGTGTAAATGGATTAAATTAATCCAAAAGTTTAATTAACTAATTAAAATCTGCATGGATACAAGCGGACACAGAGAGATTTGACCCAATCCGAACACAAATAATTTGAACATAAGAGAACGTGACAGTAAATGAGTATGAAATGCAAAAACCAAAATGAAATAGTACAGACAAAAAATTATTAAACTTATTGCATGTGATACATGATACAATGGAGGACCAAAAGAATTTATTTTTCTATTAAAAAAAGATAAGGTAATACAATGTTCATTTATTCAGATTCAATGCTATAGCAGGCATTATTTCTTTATATTATTTCTTCTGATATATCCAACTAAATCGTCACATTATTTAGGTTTGAAATTTAACTTGCCATGGTTTTCTACATTGCAGAATATATACAAGTTCAAACCATCGATGAAATTTTAAAAAATTGGTAAAAAAAGGTTATTTCAAAGAGGTTGATTAGTCTAGAAATTCAATTAAAAAAACCCTATATGAATCAATTCGCCTTCAATAACAATTAACTGGACCTCTTATTACTTAACAAATTAACATAAATAATATTTAAGTAAATGGATTAAATTAATCATGAGTCTTTAAATTAACTAATTAAAATTTGGATGGATACAACGGGACAAGCAGAGATTTCACCCAATCCAAACACAAATAGTTTGCACATAAGAGAATGTGACTGTAAATGAATATGAAATGCAATAAGCAAATGAAAATGTACAGAAAAAAATTATTAAACTTGCTGCATCTGAAACATGAAGGACCGAAATAATTTATTTAAGAAAATATATAAGATCTAGCATAGAAAATACAGACATTTTTCTTTTGCTAAGGCAATAAAATGTTCATAAATTCAAATTCTGTGTTATGTTTGCTTAGCTGTCATTATAGCCTTATATAAAATAAAATGCTCATTACAGGGTTCATTTTTTATTTCTTCTGACATAGAAACTAAATCAACCCATTATTAAGGTTTGAAATTTAACTTGGCTTAGTTTACTGCATTGCAGAAGAGATATGAGTTCAAACCATTCATGAAGTGTTAAGAAATTGGTACAAAAGGTAATTTACAAGAGGTTGATCGCTTGAGAAATTTAATTTTAAAAAACCATAAGAATCAATTCACCTTCAAAAACTATAAACTGGACTCTTATAACTTAAAAATTAAACTCAACCTTTCGCAATTTTCATGCGCCCAATTTTGGCCCAAAGTATCGTATATCTCGAATTTAGTTCCTCAAATATACAAATCAATCCAAAATGGAACCTCAAGAACTAAACTGGGATTAATTTTGTAACACAATTTTTCCATAAGGAGATATTTTGAATCAATTTAGCATGATCAAGAAAACAAATTGAAAAAATGAGATACTCCGAGCTAAATTGGCCACAAAAAAATAGTTGAGGGACTAGTTTGAAATTTAACCACTTTACAAATACACCTTTAACAAGTCAAACAATTTACCAAAGCTAGTAAGAAACACTTGTCAAAACTAAAACAGAAACAGAAACTTAAGATCTTCTAAACAGCAAAAAGAAAAAAAAAACGGGTGAAATGGAGACCATAACCTTTATTTATTTACCAATTCATTAACTATACCCATTGCCAAAAAATTTTAAGCCATATCTTTAACATTTGAAATTCACAAATGAAAACTTCATTATAAAATCAAACTGGATTTGTTTGCAGAAAAAATTTACTCGGCTATTTCAATTAACAACTTGCCATCAACTGGAGATAGCACTTCTAATTTATTAATTTTATGCATTAATCAAATCAGACAAAGGCTCCAAAAATGTTGACAAGTCATCTAACCAAACAGCCTTAAAATTCCATGAACTAGAAGTTAATCTCCATTGCAAAGAACAAGCCAACATTATATATTTCTATTCTTTCTATATATTCCTCAGCTATTTCATCCATAAAGTAAAATTGTATCAAAGTAGCTTCATCATCTTACAGTGCTTTTTTGTCTTTTTAATGATCAAATCATATAAGTTACTGCTACTCATGTTTCTATAAAAAATCAGATTGAAACATGATATATGGCATAGGCTGTGCGCTGAAAAACATCAAACATCATTGAAATTCAATACATATGCATTGAATATGGTCCTTGAATATGGAATGGTTTGGAAGGGAAAGTTATACGCATTTAATGTCACATTTCCAATTTAAAAAATAATGTAAACTTCATAATTCCATCTAATCAGAGCATCGCAATGCACTCGCTTCAATGGATTTCTAAAAAACTTAATTAGTGAAAAACTAACTTTTTAGCTCGCTGTGGATCTATGAGGGCAAGATCAGCAAGCTTTGCAGCTAAAATGGCTTTCCATGTTTCTTTATGTGATGCAATCTCCAACCCAGTTGCCAATAGCTGTGATTTTGCTGAAGTGGAACCCTCCAAAGAGTAACTATGCACATCCCTAAACTTCAGTTTATCAATCAAACTTGATGCCAGGTTCTCTGTCTGTTGTGAAGGGACATTAAGTGATGCAGCGCCTGAAGTATCACCCAATTGTGAGGCCTCCCCTGAAGTTCCAGAATATGCGTCAACGTTTCCAAGATCAATGTACATTAGAAAGAGATCATCTTCAGTAACATGAAAATTTGATGGACCATCCATGCAGTCAACAACCCCATGGTCACTGTAAAGCCTGAAATCATCTGAGAGGCCAAGAATCTCCGACCAAGAACGTCTGTGGCTAATAATTCGTGTAGGAAAATCTCGAATTGTACTAATGTCCTGGCTGAACTGCCCAGCATCGGTGGATACATTGACCCCAATAACAGATTTTGAGGCTACTGTAGCTGGGGATTGAGAAGAAGATGAAGCCATAGTTACAGATTTCACGGGAAAATTGCTCTTTGTCGACTTAAAACGACCATATCAAGGCGAATCTAGTGGAGAGATGCCACCTCCGTCTCTTCGACTCATAAACTCTCTCCAACGAAAGGACGTACCCTTCAAACCCAAGTAGCTTCTCAAAAATAAAGCACCTGAGCTAACTCAAATAATAGATGCATATCACCAAGGAGTCGGATCGGAAAAATTAGAAATGAACAAAGAATAACACCTGCAAATGACTATTGGAAACCATACCACCGATACCCTAGCAAAATAAGTGGGCAACGTCAAAGAATCGAGAAAAGGCGGGCGAGGAAAATTCCAACTTTTAGCTTCTTTGAGAAGTATTAAGAAGCTAACCGCACAATCGGCAGAAACCATCGAAAATAGAACAGAAACCAGCGATTTTAGATCAGGAAACGGAAATTCCACCATATGCGGAGCGGAAACCTGGAAAACAGGCCGGTCGATCCTCCAATGGCGGAGTGGAGGAGGAGAGAGGGCATAAGAAGAGCACAATGCCACGAAAGGCATTGAACTGATCCCGCCCACCAAGCTTGGGCCAGGGGAGAGGAATGCGAGGAAAATCAAGGACTTCTCAGCATATTCAGCAATCCGTCTTCCAAAAGCGGGAGACCAATTTTGTTTTCCATTTTCTTTTCTTAAAATGAGTTTTTTTTTTTCTTGTTAATGAAAATGCTAAATGATTTTTTTATGCTACAGAAAAACTCCATATTGTGTTACATGAATAAAAAATATATATAATAAGATTCATTGGTCATTTGTTGTAAATATATGAATGTGGAACCTAATTCTAATAGAGCTTACAAAGAGAGTTGAGATTCTTCTTGATAAAGACAAAAGTCTAGAAAGTAATTCTCGAGCATGTGCAACCATAATTAATCTTGGACAAATAAGCTTGAGCTTTAACAAATAATTATTTATACTCTGGCCTGTTCATCGTGCGTTCGCGAGCTCACCATGACTTTACAAAGTTGGGGTGAGTTTATGCCGACTCAATCAAATTCATGCCAATCTAAGCAAATTTCAATTGCCATACTGAATAGTATAAACATTTAAGATATTTAGAAGTACATTTCGCTCTTTATATATTTGAAATGTATTTGCAAAAACAACAAAGATGGTGATAATAAAAAAAATAATAATAATAATAATAATAGTATTTTTTTTAATAAATAACAATATCTTTATATCATACTATTTTTTTTTAATAAATAACAATATCTTTATATCATACATGTTTTCCTTGGAGAGAATTTTACCTTATCCTAATGTGCACGTGTACTTGTGTGCGCTAGTTTGGTGACTGGAATAACAGCTTAATCTCAAAAAATTATTTTGGTTAATTCTTTATCTTGTAATGCTCTGGGCAACCTCTATCTAGGTTTAAAAAGGAGAATTTTTCTCTTTTGAGTAGTCATTAGATGAGTCGAGAGCAAGAGATGTTGGTCATACTACTTCAACAAAAGTTTTGAAAAGAACTACAAAAGGCATTTCTAAGGTAGCCACTAATATTGTCTTAATTAGTAAAAATCCAAAAGTTCCAAAATAGATAGAGGATTCTACCACTAATAAAGGGAAAACTCTCATATTAAATCTTCCAAAAAGTTTACATGTTTCTCACAACTCTATTGCAAACTCACCGAGCATTAGCCAAAGCTATTATCTTGTAAAAAAGGCAGAAGAGCTGGTGAGTGAAATCATTTTACTTCAATCGTCTTTGATTTTAGTACAAAAATGAAATAAAATTAGAGATGAGTTCAATGATCAACTTATCCTAATAAAGGTAGATACTGAGGAAAAATATGAAAGTGTTAGTTAAAAATATAAATGTATAAGAGAATCAAATAAATTTTATTTTTAATAAAGTGATTAACATTCTTTAATTGAGAATTTTAACTTTTAAGTGCTAAAGTCATCTCCATGAGTTACACAAATCTAATCAATATTTAGTTGGTAATAAGCTTATCTTTAAGCAACTCATCAAAAGTGAAGATTTTTCAGTGATTTATTTTTAACCAATATTTTAAGGTTTTTTTTTTAAGTATGCGCATACAAAAAGTATGAGCAAATGGATGAAATCATGTTGTCTTTACTGTTTATTAGAAAATTTGTGTTTACATTTAATTGAATGAAATGTTAAATATTGTATTTATGTAAGGATTTCTTTTTGTCGTCAATAGTCTAATTCTTTGAAATGATTATACTGGTCATAACTATAACTCTCATAAAGTAAGGATGATATTTCAAAATAAATTAGATGTAAATTTCAAAAAAATTGTGATTAGGCATTTCTCAAAGGTGTTGCTTCTTTTATATATAAATAAACATTAACTTTATTTGATTTTTTTTTATAATTCTCTCTCTCTCCCTCTCCCCCCTCTCTCTCTTTCTCTCTCTCTCTCTATTGAGACCATTTCGTCTAATAAATTTTTTATTTTCAAATTTTGGCACTTACAATAATAATTGTGATAAATAAATGCTATAAGATTTTCATGAAGTCGTAGTAAATTCAATCTTAAAGAGTGATGACTCCAAAAACTAAGATTTTTTAACATACTTTATACAAACGATGGCACTTTGGTTATTAAGGCTCCAAATGTTAGTGAGTTTTTTTATATTACTCTAAAAAATGACCAATTTTATATTGTGTTACGATTCCACAATATTATTCATGAATTTTTATTGTGTGATATTTACCAAGACTATGGCAAACTTTTTCCTAGTACTTTTTTTACATTTACTTCCATCAATATAAAAAAGACCTTTGGAACATCATTATTGTTTACATTTGTTTATTTTAAAGGTTTTAAAGGATGTTTGTGCTTTGTTTTCTTCTAATCACATTAGGGATGATTGGGTAATTGGAAAACAAAAATAAGAAAATGTTAAAAAGTTATGCTTTTGATATTCTCCCGATTGGCCGATTAAAACAAAACTAGTTTCATTCACAAATAAGAAATTCAAATTTCTAGATTTAAAAGAAGTCAAGTATGCTAATTTTCTACAATAAAGAAACTAGACTTTATTGTTTGTTTATAGATTGTTATTTAAGGTAACAAAATATTTTTACAGAAAATATCATAAATGTTATTCCTTCATTTCATTACTTACCTTTTTACTTGGCAACTTACATTTATACCTCTCTCTCTCTCTCTCTCCTTTTTTTTGTTTCTCTCTCGTTGATCTCTCTACTTATTAAATAGTGAAAATTCTACATATATATATATATGGAGAGGCTATATATATATATATATAATACTTCTTATAAAATCAGATAAACAATAGAAACAAACATAAATATGGGTTGCCTCCAACAAATTGCTTGGTTTAATGTCGTTAGTCCGAAATTCCCAGTCTATACTTTGGGTGACCCAACATTGCAGTCTTTTTAAAAACCGGTCTTTGACCATCAAAATATGGTTTCAGTCTATGCTCATTCACTTTAAATATCTTTCCAGTTTCGGGATCTTAAATATTAATAACTCCATAGGGATAGACTTTTATAATTGTGAATGACCCTGTCCACTTCCAAAAAATGATTTCAATCTTGTATTGTATAATAAAACTTCTTGTCCATGCTCAAATTTATTTTTTATTATCTTCCTTTTCTCCATATATATCCTAGCATTATCATAAGATTCATTCATAATCTCTTAAAGCTCATTCAGTTGCAATAATCTTCTCTCGCCAGCATCTTTTAAATTAAAATTAAACTCCTTAATGGCCCAAAATATTTTGTGCTCCAATTTTACTGGTAAGTGGCATGTTTTTCCAAAAATAAGTCTATATGGGGACATTCCAATAGAAGTCTTACAAGCAGTTCTGTATGCCGATAATGCAGTATCGTCTTATAAGCCCATAATGTAGTATCTAATCTATCAGACCAATCCATTTTATTAGGATTTACAGTTTTTTTTTCCAAAATTCTCTTAATTTCACGATTCGATACTTTTACTAGACCACTAGTTTGAGGATGATAAGTACCACTAGTCTGGTGATAATAAGTAGTTGCAGTCCTATGTATAATATTATATTTTTCTACCAAATTTTCAATTCATTTGTTTCAAAAGTGAGATCCTCCATCAGTAATGATTATTCTCTGTATTTCATATCTTGTAAGAATATTATTGATTAAAAATTTTGAAAAACTCCGAGCATCACATCGAGGTAAAGTGATTGCTTCAATCCACTTTGATACATAGTCCACTGCAATTAATAAATATATATATATATATATATATTCCGATTAAAGGTACAAATGGTCCCATAAGATCTAATCCTCAAACATCAAAGATTTTAACTTCCAAAGTAAAATTTAGAGGCATTTTATTTCCTTTTGAAATAATACATACTCGCTGACATCGATCACATATTTTAATATTTAAATTAATATCTCTAAAAAAATAAAATCTAGATTGTAAATTTTTTTGAAAAATTCTATCAATCTTAAAATGACCTCCAAATTTAGAATTATGACTTTTTTGGATAATTCTTCAATTTTTTTATAAGGCATACATCTCTGCATAACAAAATCTTTGCATTGTTTGTAAAAAAATGGTTCATTCTAAAAGTAAACCTTTGCACTGTGTATAAACTTCTTCTCTTGTTGTTTTGTCAACCCATATGGTAAAATACCACTAACAATGTAGTTTACAATATCAGCATACTACGATATTTCCCATCCTTTAATAACATAAAGTTGTTCATCATGAAAAGTTTCATTAATTTCCTTTTCAATATTAAATGTTTCTTATTGTTCTAGTCTAGATAAATGATCAACAATCTGATTATCAAATACTTTCATATCAACTACCATAAAATCAAATTCTTGCAATAAAAGTACCCATTTAATTAATCTTGGTATCACATCCTTTTTTTGTATCAAATATTTTATAGCCGAGTCTATACGCACAACACATTTAGCTCCAATTATATATGAGATAAACTTATCAAAAGTATAAACAATGACTAATAATTCTCTTTCACTAGTGATATAATTAATTTGAGCATAATTGAGAGTTTTACTAGCATAGTATATAACTTTAAAAATTTTGTCATATCACTGCCCTAAAACATCTCCAATTGCATAATCACTGGCATCACACATTAATTTGAACGGTTTCTCTCAATTGGGTAAAACAATTATAGGAGTAGTGATCAATTTGTCTTTCAATGTTTTGAAGGCATTAAAACACTCTTGATTGAAATCGAATTTTGTATCTTTTTCCAAAAATTGGCATAAACGCTTTGTAATTTTTGAAAAATCTTTAATATATCGCTTGTAGAAATCATGTCTTAAAAAACTCCTAGCTCCTCTTACAATAGTAGATGGAGGTAGGTTAAATATAACTTGAATTTTTGTCGGATCTACTTCCATGTCATTTTCTAAAATGTTATCCCAAGAACAATTTCTCCTGCAACCATGAATTGACATTTTTCCCAGTTTAATACTAGATTCATCTTTTCACATCATTCTAGAACTTTCTCTAAATGATTTAGACACATTTTAGATGAAGTTCCAAACACAGAAAAAT